ATATTCCATTATGTATATATACCACAGCTTCTTTATCTATTGAAGGGCATCTTGGTTGGTTCTACAATTTAGCTATTGTGAATTGAGCTGCTATAAACATTGAGGTGGCTGCATCACTGCAGTATATTGTTTTTAAGTGCTTTGGGTATAGACCCAGGAGAGGGATAGCTGGTTAAATAGTGGTTCTATTCCAAGTTTTCTAGGGAATCTCCATACTGCTTTCCAGATTGGTTGCACCAATTTATAGTCTCACCAGCAATGTATGAGTGTGCCTTTTCCCCCACATCCTCGCCAACACTTATTGTTGCCTGTATTCTTAATAATTGCCATTCTGACTCGAGTGAGTTGAACTCTTAGTTTTGATTGGCATTTCTCTAATTGCTAAAGATGTTGAACTTTTTTTCATATATTTGTTGATCAATTGTATATCTTTTTTTCTGAGAAGTGTCTGTTCAGTTCCTTAACCTATTTATTGATTGGGTTATTTGTTTTGTGTTTTTGGTGTTGAGTTTTTTTGAATTCTTTATATATCCTGGAGATTAGTGCTCTGTCTGATGTGCATGTGGCAAAAATTTGCTCCCCAAATGTGGGCTCTCTCTTCATCTCACTGATTGTTTCTTTTGCTGAGAAGAAGCTTTTTAGTTTGAGTCCATTCCATTTACTGATTCTTGATTTTATTTCTTGTGCTACAGGAGTCTTGTTAAGGAAGTCGGGGCCTAATCTGACATGATGAAGATTTGGGCCTACTTTTTCTTCTATTAGATAGTTAAAAAGCATCACTTTAGCATTTCATCCATAACTATGATACCTATGGATAAAATGACATAATAGATAGGATTTGCTTCAAAATAATACGTGAGGAAGGGAGTTAGATCACCCAAGATCGGACATAGTGATGCTGTTGTTAAAAGTGGGTGATTGGCGGAGGGGATTTATTATAGTATTCAATCTATGTTTGAATATGTTTTAAATGATGCACAATAAAAAAAAAGTTGAAAAATATTTTTGAAAGAAGTGTGTGGTTGAGAGGGAGTGGAGACGGAGGCCTCAGAACAGCCCTGGGAGCAAGGCGTGGGAGGGTAGCCCCTGGAGGGGAGGTGGAGGCACACGTGGAGATTTCAGGACAGAGGAGACCAGACCTTTGTGAAGATGGAGGTGAAGTTGGGAAGGGAGAAATGGGAAACCCTGGAAGAGAGGGCATAGGTGAGAAAGTGTGTGGCTGGGGACCATCAGGGCCGAGGGAACCGTCATCTGGGAAGAGAAAAATGGACTAGGGTGGGGGGAAGATTTTAGAAAGAAATACACTGAAGTGGAAGGAAAATCATAACAACTATTATTATTATTATTATTATTATTATTATTTTGGTATTGGGAATGGAACCCAGGGGTTCTCTACCACTGAGCTACATTTTCAGCCCTTTTCATTTCTCACTAAGTTGCTCAGGCTGTCCTTGAACTTCCTATCCTCCAGCCTCAGCCTCCCAAGTTGCCAGGATTACATGTGCACACCACTACATCTAGTCTTTTCTTAATTTTTTTATTCATCTTTTATTTTTTTATTTTTGCCACAGCGTTACAAACCCAGACAGTGAGATTCARTGTTAAGAGGCTTGCCCTGGGCCGCATTAATACAGAACTAGGTTTAAGCACAGATCTGTGTGAAGCCCAAGCCACGCGCTTAACCCCGACTCTGTATTTCCAATTTCTCTCCCACCCCGTCTTCCTGTCCCCACACTTTGCCCCCTGTGCAGGGTGTGCCTTCTCTCTGACATGGCCAGGACTTGTCCAGTTCTGATTCAATCAAATGGCAGATGAGGATGTCATCTGAGGCCCCTCCGTGACTGGACCTCAGCCCAGGGATCTCTACAGTGGCTCATGCCACATTAAGCCTCTGTCTCTCATCTCCTGTGTCCTCCACCAGAATGCCCTTCTGGGCTGACAATCCTATGTCACTGCTTCTGGGCCTGCTGGCTGCTGTCCTCCTGCCTGTGACCTAACCCCCTCCCACCCCCACCCCGACCCCCACCCTCTAGCCACATTCTCCCTCTTTCTCTCTTTGATCCCTGTGAGAGATGCTCTGCCCTGAGCAGGACTGAGATCCTCAACTTAGAAAAATATCAGATGTTAAGAAAAGAAGAACCACCTGAGGCAGAATTGTCAGAGAAYGGTGGTGGAGAGACAGAGAGGTGGGAGAAGGGGGCCGTCAGAGGACTCAGAGGAGGGTCATAGACTGGCACTTGAGGCCAGGAGTGTGAATCCAGGATGGTGAGATCAAACAAAAGCAGGGCGAGGTCAAAGAGGAAAGTGGGAAAGGGAAGCCTTATGCGGCTGCCGATCATGAACGCCATGGGTGGGCTCTGATGTTTGTGGTTGGTGGCCTCAGTCAATGGTGGAGTGGACTCCACCAACCACCCCCTCAGGTCCACATCTCAGGCARGGCTGGCAGGGGCTTTCCCAGGTTGGGCTGGTGTGTCCTGATGGAGTCTGTGTTGTTCCCGTGCCACAGGTGCCCGTCACACTGGCCCCCAGCTTGTGCCAGTATTGGCACTGGCCATGGTCCTGGCAGGAATCTGGTGCTTCCCTGGCTGCTCAGATGGGCTGGAGTGGGGATGGGAGGAGGATGGAGGATCTGAAAGATGGTGAGGATGGTCTGGGTTGATCCTAGGGGAGGAGGAGTGGGGAGGAGGAGTGTTTGGGGAGAGCCACGATTCTGAGCAGCCACCATAGGGAGCTCACCCGGGAGCCTCCAGGAATTCTGAGAAGGACTGTCCAGCTGCTCTGAGGTCTCGGCTGAAGTTAGACATTAGGAATATGTCATGTGTCCTGTGTGTGCCATGTCAGTGCTAGCCAAGCTTCTGGGGCTTTCTTCAGCAAAGTCACCAACAGATCTAGGATCACCAAGGCTCCAAGAGACCCAAGCTGCCCAGCACAGTGACCGGCACATGTGTGGTGGTTGGATGAACGCATGCATCTGTGAATGATGAGGTTTGGGTGTCCCTAAGAGAGTGGATGTGCCTCAGTGCCCAGCTGTGAGCTGGCAGGTGTCTTTGGACCCAGATTTAGTGCAGGAAAAGGAAGGAGCCTGTGCTTGGCTTAGGACAGTGCAGAAATGTTCCTGCGCTCAGAAATGAGGGTCAGAGGAACCACGAATCAGCATGCACTAGGAAAAGGGGATGTTTGATGTGAACATGCTGCAAGTGACTGGTAACTATTTCTTGATGCCTGTCCTTTGCTATAGAGTTGAAAGGAATAAAAGAGACCCTTGCCTTGGGTAGGAAGGAAGTGGGAGAAGGAACCAGAATAGAGTATTAATGGGTCAGAAAGTGAGATAAAGATTTATGGAACTTCTGAGTTCTAAGATTTAGAAAGCTAGAAATATTTAAAATCGCACCAAAATTATGAAATGCTTTGGTACAATTAAAATTCTAGACTTGCATGTGGAAGACTAGAAATCATTGAGACAGGAGAAGCGAATGAATGAAGAGCTAAACTGACCATCGGATAGAAGACTCAATATTTGCTAAGGTGTCTGTTTCTCCTCAAACCGTGCCAGTCAATGCAGTTTCAATAGAAAGCCCAGCAGGTGTGTGTGTGTATGCGAGTGGGTGTAGAAATCAATAACCCAGTTGTAAAATTTAAACTAAAGTAACTAGAATAGTCAAAACCATTCTGGAGGACCACAACCTGATTTCAAGTTTTACTATAAATTATAATAGGCAGTCGCAACAGCGTGATATTGGTAAAGAGACGGATGTGTAGGTCAGTGGAACTCAACAGGGACTTCAGCCATTTACTGACTGATGGACATTTGGTTTATTTCCAGTTTGGGAAAATTGTGAAAAAAAAAGCTGTGACTTTCATGTTTATAAACAAAATACTGTTCTGCAATAAAAAGAAAGGAATGGCTGAGAAACACAGCTTCTCACATGTCGAGTGCATTGTGCAGTGTGAAGGAGACAGACTCAAAAGGCTACATGTGGTTCCACGCAGACGGCACTCTAGAAGGGCAGGAGGCTGCAGGGACAGAAGTCAACGGGGTAGTGGCCAGGGCTTAAAATCGGAGAGGAGGAGGTTGGCTAAGCCTGGGTCACTCTTTGCAGGAACCTGTACCTGTGGGAAAACCCCCATACCCAAGGACTCTGGAAGTGCCGTGTCCTACTCTTTCCCACTGGATGGTCAGGATTTCACTCATGCCCTGTGCATAGAATAAATGCTGGTGYGAGCATGTCACGCAGCAAACACCCACTGGTCAAAGGAGGCCACGCTGGAGGACATTTCAGATGGGAGAGAGACTCCTTCCTCTGGGGGACAACCCATTTTCCCGTTCTCCTGCTAACTAGGTCATCGTCGTGGTTAGTACTGTGCTTCCTGAGCCTTGTTCAGAAGCCCTTTACTTGTAGGAATCCATGTCACCCTCCGACAGCGCCATATATTATCATCATGTTCATTGACGGATACGGGGACGGAGGCACGGAGGGGTTCTGGGTGTGTGGTTGCAGACCCCAGGAGCAAGGAAGGACAGACGTGGAGAAGGAAGTCTGGGTCCATGTTCACAGAGGCTACCACACTCTGGGGTGCCAGCCCGGGGTGGGGGAAGGACTAGAAGGGCTGAATGTGAGTCATGTCCTCCCAGAGGAGCAGCTGTCCTCCGTCCTTAGGGAGCCCAGCACCGGCAGATGGCTGGCATGCAGCTGTGGGCACAGTGACCACCCGGCTAGGCGCAGCCCGGAGACTGACTGAGCGGCCCCAGCCCTGTGCGGTCACCGGGGCTGGCACTGGCCGGTGGCGGCTGGCCTCTCAGAGGTCTGGGATCCCCGGCCTCCTCCAGCCGGGCTGCAGTGCGGGCTCCTCCTCCCCCTTCCTCCCACGCAGCCCCTCCTTGAATCACGAAGCCAGACCCCAGTCCTGGTGTTGCTCAATGGCCAGGAGCCCAGTTTCCTGTGCGCAGCGCCTGACGTGTGGGTCCCTCTCTTTTCTGCAGTTCAAGGGAAAGACAAGATCTTGCACAAGGYACAGCAGCCCTTGGCCAGGGTGGGAGGCATGGAGCCTCTCTGGCTGCTCCTCCTGCTCTTTGTCACAGGTAGGTCCCCCCATTCCTTCTTTCCCTCCCCTTCCTTGAACATATGACGAGGTGGAGGCCGGAGCTGGCACTGGGCTGAATAGGAAGGAGTTGGAAGTCCTTGCCTCGCCCGAGTGACCTGTTCCRCACAGCGTCCCCACCTGCCGGGGGTCTTCGTGCCTGACCCCCCTCCCGGGATCCAAACCCACATGGGCCCACCTTGGTGGGATGGAGGCTGAAGGGGCTTCTGGCCCCCAGTCATATGGGAAGGAGAAAATGCTGACGGTGGCATCTGAGGCACGAGCTGGCAGTCGGGGGAAGTTTGGGGGGCACTGGTAGGAGCCCCTAAAATTATGAACCAAGACCAGCTTCCAGGCAGTGGCAGGGAGAGAGGGAAGGAAGGAGGAAAGGCCCRGAACTGTGACCTGCATCTCAGAGAGGACCCTCTCACCTTGGAAGGTCCCCTTGGCCTCAGCTCTTGATGGGAGGCATGGAATAAGGGTTTTGGCCACCGAGTTGGGGGCACTGACACCCCCAATTTTGCACATGATGGCCTCTTCCATTGGGGAATGGTACTTCTCGCTCCCCAAGGCAGTAGGAAACCTGGGTTGAGGAGAGGTGATGGGGTCTGTTCCCGCAGCTCCTTGGTGGAGGGGGAGAGGGAAGGGAGGTGCGTGGTGGCCCGTGGTGGCCTGTGGTGGCCTGGCTGGAGGCAGAGGGATGGATGAAAGGGGATGCATTGGGGGTATGCTGTGCATTGGTGTCTCTCGTTCCAAAAGAGGCAGGTCGTCAGCTTCTTGGTCTGACCTTTCCAGTTTCTGTCACAATAATGGCTGGAGGCGGGGGTGGGCAGGAAAGAGGCCCAGGCWGGAGGCTCCCGGTGACTCCCTGGGAGCCCCTGCCTGGCAAGAAGCGGGGTCTCCACGTCTGTCTCCTCTACCCCAAAGAGGATGCCCAAAATAGCAGCCTCATGCCTCTCCCAAAATAGTTTTGAAACAAGTCCTTCCTGAAAGGGGAACAAAGCCACAGAAATAGGGAAGCTGGAGGCTCTAGGTCAGGAGAGAGGAGTCTGTGGAGCAGTACCAGTGGGCGCCACAGAGGAGGCAGGCGCGGCCGGGCARGGAGGGACATGCCCACTGGGAACCAGCCCCAGGCCTGAAGACAGGACAGGAGGGGTCCTAGTCCCCTAAGACAGGAAGCAGATGTGCAGAAGAGAACTGGAGGGTTTTAAAAACCATGTGTTTCTGAAAGAGGCCCAGAGAGGGCCAGTTTCTTCTCTGAGGATGCCCAGCAAGTCAAAAAGTGAGAAAACCAGCCTCAGGACCTAGGTTTCCCGGTTCCCAAATTCCCACAAAAACATGCCTGGGCTGTGCCAGGTACCTGTTTCTTCCTCCCCATTTGTACCAGCTCCTTAYGGACAGAATTTTTGTCCATTTGGTTCGCTGCACATAGCAGGTGTTCAATAAATATTTGGTAAATAAATGGAGGAGTCAAGGAATGTCTCCTCTGCAGAGTYGGGCGCAGCCCCCAACACCACAGTGCTCCAGGGCGTGGTGGGCCAGTCCCTGCAGGTCTCCTGCCCCTATGACTCCACCAAGCACTGGGGGCGGCGAAAGGCCTGGTGCCGCCAGCTGGACCAGGAGGGCCCGTGCCAGCGCGTTGTCAGCACGCACAGCCTGTGGCTGCTGGCCTTCCTYAAGAAGTGGAATGGGAGCACGGCCATCACGGACGATGCCCTGGGCGGCACCCTCACCATCACCCTGCGGAATCTTCAAGACCACGACGCTGGCCTCTACCAGTGCCAGAGCCTCCGTGGCAGTGAGGCCGACACGCTCCGGAAGGTGCTGGTAGAGGTGCTGGCAGGTGAGTGAGTGGCTGTTGGGGCCAGGCCTCATGTTTTGGGCATCTGTGTTCAGGACCATAGGGTCCCTGGGAAAACTCACAGTGTGAGTCCCATGGATGGTTTTGCAGGCTGCTCACTGTGCAAGGGAGCCAAGTCCAGCGGGGACTCCTCTTGTGCCCTGGTGCAGGGCTGTGTTACCTGTAATCAGGGCATCTCTCTCTAATTTGCATTCATTGTYGGAGTTAGCCTTGGCCCTACTTTCTCAAATTGCTTCACCCAGTCGACATCTGATTGGTCTGTGAACACCTACAGGTTGACTTTAAGGGGCAGCAGATTAATTTACTCACTTGCCCACTCAGCCAAGGAACTTATCAACGTAGATGAAGTTTTCTGGTGCAGAAAAACAACCCTCAAAGGAATGCTTGCTGGGGAGTGTGCTTCACTTCTCTGGTCCTCCATTTCCCCATCCTGAAGTGGAAATGATGGGGCTGGCAGTGTAGCTCAGTGGTCAAAAGCTTGCTTAGCATGTGAGAGGCCCCTGGTTTTTCCCCAGTACTGCTAAAAAAAAAGGGGGGGATAGTTTATATAGAGATGATGGCATTAGTCCTGGTGACCCCAGGGGGTGACACCGGAGGCAGACCTCCTGACACTGAACTGACTTGAGATTAGCATTTCAGGCCTGAGGGGGAGAGACACCCTTGAGCTGTGCACAGGGACCACCCTTCTGCCTGTCTCTAGCAGACAGCTGTGTCCCAAAGAAGGGCAAAGGTCCCTTCCTGACTCTCCTCTTTTCCAGTGACCCCATGGCCCTTTATCATCAATGAGGGTCAAACGTATCTCCTTAAGGAGGGGCGACTGCCAGCCCTGGACATCAGTCCCCCCTCTCTTTCATGGAGTCGGGACACAGAGACGTGCATTTCCAGCCCTGTCAGGGTCTAAGGCTCAGTCGATTCCCAAGAGGATGGCAGGAAATGATATAGTAATAGTAACCCGTTGCTTGTGCAGACAGCCCGACAGTTTAAACCCATCCACGATTCCATCTGGATGGAGGGAGGGAGGGATGTGTGATGGAGAGAGGGATGGCAGCCCCTGAGCACCCGTGTGACACTAGACACCCTGCAGAGTGGCTCCTGCTGACTCCTGCAGGGAGGAGGTGTTCCTAACAGCCCGCTGTACAGTAAGGAAATTGAAATTCAGAGACTCGATCCATGCAGAACAGAAACTCCCAGGGCCTCACTGACCCCACCTGGGTTCTACCCACCAAGGCAGCTAGCCCGAAGGAGGACAGAGCTGCAAAGTGACAGCTCTGTCTCCCGCAGACCCCCAGGATCACCAGGACACGGAAGACCTCTGGGTCCCCGAGGAATCTGGGAGCTTCGTGGCAGTGCCTGTGGAGCACAGTGTCTCCAGGTACAGTGAGCAGACCCTGGCAGACTCCCGCGCTGCAGAGCCCACGCCGGGTGGGGACGGAGGTCCTAGGACCGTGGATTCCAGGACAATTGGAGCAGGAAAGGTCCTGTTTCCCAGGTCCTGTTTACACCCTGCCCGTCAGCTGGCATGTCTGGCGTGACGGTGCCAATGACAGGAGACTGACATCCTTCTGTCACACTTTGGCTCTCCGATGCCTGACTGGGCAGCCCCCCACCCCTCCCCTGGCAGCCGGGACCCCAAGGGTCAGCAACAGCGAGAGTCGCAGCACCAGCCCCAGACTCCTGGGTCCCCGTCCCTTTGGTAGAACCAGAATCTCTTCTGACACTCCCCCATGGCTGAGTGTCGGTGTTTAAATGCTCATGTAACCACTGAGTGCACGCGCGTGTGCACACACTCACACACCTTAGGAGACCACGGGCACAGCAGACAGCTGCTGGGCCAGGGAGGGAGGGTGGTGTGCAGGCCCCACCAGCCCCACCCGGGATGTGCTGGGCGGAGAGCTTCCCCCAACCCTCTGGGGAGACTCCAGCTTGCAGGCCACCTCGAGGTTCCCAAGTGTCCTCCTTCTCTTTCTCAAGGGAGACCCCGTTTCCACCTACTTCCATCCTCCTCCTCCTGGCCTTCATCTTTCTCAGCAAGCTGCTGACTGCCGGCGCTCTCTGGGTGGCAGCCTGGCGGTGCCAGAAGCTGAGGAGCTTTCCAGCCAGCGGGCAGGGCTGTGGCGACGACCCAGGGCACCGGCTCCAGACGCTGTCAGGTGGGCTGGGGAGCCTGGCGATGGCTGGGGGGGCGGCAGGGCAGGAGGGCTGAGCACGAATCGAATCGTTGCAGGCTCCACGGACACATGAGAGGAGAGGCCCCCAGATGGGAGAAGCTGGGGAGAGGCCGTCCAGGGGCCACCCCAGCCTGCGCGCTCGCTCGAGACTCCTGGTTCTGCCCCAGCAAGACATCACTCAGCCTGCACCCTGCTTGCTCTGGGGCCTGGAAGGAGGCCATGTGTGTGTGTGTGTGTGTGTGTGTGTGTGTGTGTGTGTGTGTGTGTCTGTGTGGGGGGGATATGTTTTGGGAGGCAGGTCACTTCTCAACTCCTGGGCTTTGGACATTAAACACTCTCAGAAGTCAATCCACGACTGTCCTGCTTTACTGGATTTGGGCCTTCCAGAAGCTCTTCTCTTTTGCTTCCTGGCTAGGGTTAGGGTTAGGGTTAGATGAAGGAAAGCTAAAGGATCTCACTGCTTGGGGCCTGGGGTCCAGAGGTACCATGTCCCTCTATTCTCAAAGGCTCCCATCCGGCGAGGGCTGCGCCACAGTGCAGCCTATCGGAGCTGGAGACATGGTCCAAGCCCCTCATCATATTAAAAAGAAACCAAGGCTCCAAGAGGGATGGGGCCTCCCTGGGTCACCCAGTATTGCCTGGGGATCCAGAGTTCACTTGGCATTCAAGGGACCCTTCCCTCTGCTCAGTCCCACTCATTCATCCATTCATTTATTCAGAATGTCTTGGCGTCGGGTGGTCTCTGCCAGGAACCATCCTGAGCTCTGGAAGGACAGCAGTGAAGAGCAACTGGGGTTCCACCCACACGGAGAGTGGTCTGGAGGGAGAAGAGGGAGAAAATCAGTAGTACAACACAGCAGGAAACCTGACGTGTGCCCGAGGGCAAAAAGTGCCAGGGAAAAAATTAAACCAAAGCCAGGTGGAGAGTCCTGGCTGCAGAGGGCTGGGGAGGGGCTGCTTTAAACGGGCAGTCAGGAGGTGCCATTGAGGTGTCCCCTGAAGGAGGGGAGGAAATGAACCAGGACGGCATGAGGGAGGGTGTTTGGGGCAGGGGCTCAGCCTCACAAGTCCCTCTTCATCTTACGCAGGAGTGAGGGGGAGATGGGGTGAGGGCGGGCTGCAGCAGGAGGAGGAACCAAGTGGGCCACAGCCAGGGCTCTCTGCTCCGGCCCCAGGTGGGTCACTGAGAAGGTGCTCAGCACAGAGCTCACGTTCTAGCCTCACGTCACTCCCCTGGTCCCAGCTGTGTCCCCACCCTGCCTTCCACCCCACTCAGGCTGCTCCCGTGGCCCCCACCCTGGAGCTCCGTACTCTGGGCCAAACTGCTTCTGGGGCTTCCCTGGCTCGGTGGACATCCAACTCCCTCATTACATCCTGGGCCAGCAGCCTTGTCCCCACAGATTCTGGACAAAGTCTAAGTGCCAGGACTGAGCTGAGCCCTCGGTACCTACTCCCATATGGGCACCAACAGGAGGAGGCGTTGGGGACACCTGGCGTCAGGCACAGTGGCCCCCATTCACCTCTAGCTCAGAATGGAGCTTCCTCCGCTTGAGAACTCGGCCTTTCCTCCTCCCTGCTCTGCCCCGTCAGAGTTCTCCACCTCTGGATTGGGATCACCACTGGGGTCCCCAGCCGTGGGCTCAGGAGCACCCTGGACTGAGGGCACACAGATCACTGAGCCTCGGTTTGACCTCTGCCCCTGGCCAGACTTGCTGAGTGCCTCAGTCCCTCTGAGCCTGTGTCCTCACCCACAAACGTAACTAACCACAAACACTCCCCCTCCCAGGCCTGGCCGTCTTCACAGGGTTGTGAGGTTAAAAGTAATAACATTGGTGAGAGTCCCTGGCCAGCTGTCTGGTACACAGTATGTCCTCAATAAGCTCACTTCCTCCCGGTCATGTCCAGCAACATGACACCTCCCTGGAGGCCAGCCTCCTGCCTGGCCACCTCTGTTCCCAGCAGTGGACAATATTCATTTGAGGAATTCAGTTGAATGTTGAACATAATTCTGCTCATCACAAAACACTCCCGGGTGGCTTATTAATGTGAAAATAACTTTCTTGCAAGGAAATTAAAGTGTTGGCAGAATAGATAAATACCTGGTTTGCTCAGGACTTTCTGCCATGTCCTGGGAAAACCTTCAGTCCCCGCGTGCAGGGCTAGTGGGTCACCCTACCACCCGCCTCACTAGGCTCAGCTTACCCTAGTTGGCCATCTCAGGCTCCCAGGGCCAGCTTCCCTTTCTCGACTCCCTTGTACCTGAAGGAAAGAAGGACAGAGAGGGGAGAGGAGAGAGGAGGGAGGGAGGGTGGCTTTTCCAGTCCTATCCTGGGCCTCACCCTGCAAGGTGCCCCACCCAGGTGTCCCCACAGACAGCTCTAATCTCTTTTTATTTTATTTTATTTTTTTAGTTGTAGATGGACACAATACCTTTATTTTATTTACTTGGTGCTGAGGATCGAACCCAATGCCTCATCCATGCTAGGCAAGTGCTCCACCCCTGAGCTACAGCCCCAGCCCAGCTCTAATCTCTTTGACGGCTGCTGTCCACCCTGGTATCCGTGGTCACTTTATTACTCACTTTCTGTCCTTGTTCCTCAGAGTCCAGACACTGGGCTGCATGAATGAAGGCCTGGTGTCTCCAGTGGGGGAAGTGGGTTTGCATCCCAGGAAAGGAACCCCAAATTATGAGATTTGCAGTTTATGTAGAGCATCTGGGACGTTGGTCTATCTCCAGAGACAGCAGAAGGGAAGGAGGGAGTGAGAGAAAGAGAGAAAGAGAGAGAAAGAGGGAGAACTTTATTCTCCAGCATGAATAAATTTTCTCCAGGGAGGAAGGGGGAAGGCTACGAATCTYCCAGGAGGTAACAGTCTCTAGCTTCCAAGGCAAGACTGAGCACATTCACCCCCCACCCGCAGTGTTCTTCTCTCAAGAGGCCTCTTTGCAAAAAAGGTGAAGAACTGAGAATTGTCTCCCAACAGAGAGGAGAGAACACTCATGAAACAAACTAGTATATGCCATCAGTAAAGAAAGCCTGGAGGAAAGAGAGAAAGGGGGTGGGGAGGGAATGATGCTGCAAATTAAAAATATTAAAGAATAAAAATTCAAAAGATAGCAAAAGAAGAGGTAGAGAAAAATATGAGGAAATCTCCTAAAAGGCAGAGCAACATGGACACAAAGACGGAAATGAGCAAAGGTACGAAAAAGAGATGGATATGAAAGATTCCACGTCCAACTAATTGATAAGTTGTAGACAAAATGGAGGGAGAAAAGGAATGCAGAGAAGTAACCGTCAAGGAAGTAATCTGGTTTCCAGAGCCGAGGAGCATGGATCCCTATGGAAAGGGTCTGGAGTGTGCAGGGGAGACAGGAGCCAGCCCCAGGCCAGATGCGCCATGGAGGCGGGGTAACCAGCTGTGAAGTGGCATTCAGGAGGGGCAGTGTCCTGAAGCTCTGGGGGTGTGATGGGGGCATTTGTGAATAACGTAAAACCAGCTGGTCTTGGCCATTAGTAGGCCACGTTCCTTCCTCCTTTATAGCTCTCCATCCACAGATTTGGAAGACCCTGGAGGTCACCCTCCCTTCTTCTCTGAGACCCTGCCCCTACCTCCCGCTGTGGCTGGCCCCCGCCCTGGGCTCCTGTCTTTCCTCTGGTCTTCTCACCAGCCCTGCTGGCCCCTGCTTGCAGGGTCAGTTCCTGAGCACTAAGCCAACCAGCATTTGGAAGAGCTCCCTATCCCCAACCCTGGAGATGCCCACCCGTCCCTACCTCCCACTCTGCGGTCATGGAGAGCCCCACGTGACCATTGGAGACAGATGTTTCCTTCCCTCGGGAGAATGCTGTGTCAGTGACCAGGCGAACCCCAGAACTGACATCTGCCAGCCCAGTCATGGGCCCCAGGCTTCTCCTGCTGCTGCTCCTGGGACGAGCAGGTAAGACTCAGATGGAGCCTTCCGTGTCCAGGAAKAGCTGGGGTTCCTGCAGATGCCATATCCCTACGCTAGAGGCTGGGTTGGGAGGTGGCCCCAGCCCCCGGCCCACATTCACTCCCTCCTCCTTTCCTTCCCTAGGTCAAGGCTCCGAGGGCAGCCTCCCAGAGGTACTGCAGGTGCCCGTGGGGGGCTCCATTCTGGTGCAGTGTCACTACCGGCTCCAGGATGTCAGAGCCCGGAAGGTGTGGTGCCGGTTCTCACCTGAGGGGTGCCAGCCCCTGGTGTCCTCAGGGGTGGATCGCTCAGCCACAGGAGACAGGCACATGTTTCTCACSGACCTGGGAGGGGGTCTGCTGCAGGTGGAAATGGTCACCCTGCAGGAGGAGGATGCAGGGCAGTACGGCTGCATGGTGGAGGGAGCTTTGGGTCCCCAGATGTTGCACCGGGTCTCTCTGGAGGTGCTCCCCTCGGGTGAGTTATCTTGGGCCTTCCATCACCCTCTGACCTGCCCTCCCAACCCCCACCTGTGGCCAGGGCTCTTGGGCCTTGAGGGATGGGGGTGCCTGCGGGGAGGCCGTGGGAGAGATATCTTCATAACAGCCCTGTAGGGAGCGGAAACTGAACTGGGTGGGAGTCTGAGATAAATCACCTCCCACATCATGGATTCCCCTGCCACTAAGAGTCTCCTCCTCACACACCATGGTTTTTGCTTCCTTTTCCGGCATACTCAATGCTATCTTTTTTTTTTCCTCCTTAGAAATGTTTTAAACAAAATTGAGTTTGAGCCGAGTGTGGTGGTGCATGCCTGTAATCCCAGAGGCTCGGGAGGCTGAGGCAGGAGGATGGCGAGTTCAAAGCCAGCCTCAGCAAAAAAGTGAGGGGCTAAGCAACAGTGAGACTCTGTCTCTAAATAAAATACAAAATAGGGCTGGGGATGGAGCTCAGTGGCCAAGTGCCCCTGAGTTCAATTCCTGGTACCTGCCCGACTCCCCAAAATTGAATTCGAGCATATAAATAAATTAAAATTTTTATACCTTTAAGATTTTCATCCTGTAGTAATGAGTTTGATGACCTAAAATGAACTGAATTCATATCTTAACCTGACAAGTCTTCATGGAGCATCAAGTGGGTATGTGACCTCCAGGCAGGGTACAACTCAACTATTTCAACTCATTCAGTTTTAAAAATGGAAAAAGTGTCATTAATATGTAGGCCCAAATTCTCAACCCTAATTTCAGTATATAAAACACTTTGCTTTTACATTTCATTCATGCAGTCCACATCTTTCAAGTATTTAAGTACTAAAATAAACATTTTTTTACCAGAAAAATAAGATGCTATATAATAAACTATACTGGAGGAAAATATCAGCCACCTAGAGTGGGAACTACTGCTACTTTTCTCTGATGGATACTGACTTTTTTTTTCACTTTTTCCCCCTCCTTTTCTCAAATCATTTGTGTCTAATCCCCAAAGAATAAAATTAAGAAATGTATTCCATAAATAAGAGGGTAGACTGAATGGTGAGTGGAATCTGCTCATCTTGAGTTGTTAACCTGTACCACAAAAATAGTGGTTAATCCTAGTTATTCTTTGTCACTCTGTGGTCAAGGAATTCTTTTAAATTCCTAAAAGGCAAATTGTGATAAGCCTCACTGGGAAGAGGGGGCAGGAGGCAGGTCCCCAGAGCCCTCTGCAATGTGTTGCTGCTGCGGAGGATGCAGGTTCAGGCAGGTGTGTGGAAATGGTACGGGGAAGCCAGAGGCTGTGGCCTGAAGCTCAGGCAAGCATCTAGCTTCAGAGAGCATTGACCAAGGCAGCCTCATGGCAYGAGGAGGGCAAGACATGGGCAGCAAGATTGGCACCACAGCACTTTCATGGTGAATCTCAAGAATAAGGTGAGGCCCCATCCTAGATGGCCTGAAAAGACTGGCCAGGTACCCAAACTGATGTTCTGGCCCAGGTCAACTAAACCTGAGTCCTGTAGCCACAATTCAAGCATTTTGTAGGGATGACAGTCACAAAACTGAGTCTCGGGTACTGGTGAGGCTCTCAGAGAGTGTCCCCGTGTTGCCTCACATTAATGCTGACCAGAGGGCGGAGCTTGGGATGGGGCTCGACCAGCACTCAGGTGGGACCACAGGGTCACAGGTATATAGAGAGGCAGCATTTRAGGCCAGTGAGTTGGGAGCAAGGTCACCACTGAGGGTGAAGCTGGAGAGACCTTTCCTGGGTGGGGGCAGAAGACAGGCAGAGATTACTCAGTGGTTTTTCTGCATAGTCTGGGCAGCCTGGGAAGACTAGGGGGGTGCGGCGCGGAGCAGGCAAAGGAGAAGAAATGCAGGGGGACAGGGAGGGAGCTGGTGGCAGAGGAAATGCAGGGGGCCAGGGAGGGAGCTGGTGGCAGAGGAAAGAGGGTACATTTGCAACTAGGTAAAGATACAGAGTCAGCGCCATTCCCCGACCCACAGAGTGAGAGGCCCTGAGGAACGTCCCAGATGTTCCTTTGTGTCCCTTTCTCAGGGCTTCTTCTTCCTTGGCTCCATTTTCCTAGTCCCTCAGACCCCATCAAGCCACGAAGCCTGCCCACAGTGGGTGTTCTCATTAAATGTTTCCTTCTGAGTTAGCTCCTGGCCTGAGAGAGGAGGAGGAGGAGACCCATAAGCATGGCAGTCTGGCTGAGGACCCCTCCTTGGACCCTGCAGGCAGTGCCAGCCCCTGGGAGCCCAGCCAGCAGAAGAGGTACTGGCAAGACTGGATTAGGGTGGCTGGGAGAAGGTGACTGGTGAAGATGTGACTTACTTTGAGCTCTAGACTAAATTGAAGGGGGGATTCCTTCCATCCCCAGGAGCTTCTGATTGACAGACAAACTGACCGATCTCTTTACCCCAGTTCATCAATGGGTCCTTCATCTTGGTGTATCTTCAGCCAGGACACCTTGATAATGTGTCTGTCTACCTGAATCTACTCTYCTCACCTGTTCCATGTCCTCTCAACCCTGGATCCCCAAGAATGTGGCTCTCCTCTCAATGTTCCAGAGTTCCTGGTTAGCAACTCTCTGTAGGGTTAGGGCTAAGCCTACCTATTCCTTTCTGTCCCTCAGCATCCCCTTGATCTGGTGTGCTGTGTCCCTTCTGGGCCTTCTGGTGGCAGCTGTGGTGCTGTTTGCTGTCATGACCAAAAAGAGAGGTCAGTAGCTGTCTACCCACCTAGCCCAGCCTCAACCAGTTTTGCAGATGAGGCCAGGAGTCTAGGTCTGTTCCCCTACAGAAAGATTTGTCTGGGCTTTAGTTAAGCACCCACACCCTAGAATTCCTATAGCCGAGGGGTGAAGAGGAGGGAGGGAGAGTCAATGGGGGCAGGCCTGGGGAAATATCGGAATTGGAAAGAATGGGGATGGGGATTAGAAGAAAGGGGATGGAATAAGTAGGGGAAGGGTTCTAGGAGGTAGACTGAATATGGAAGCAATAAATGGGTGGGGAGAGATGGGGAGACTGGGGGAGGGGTCTGGGAGATGAAGGGTAGAGGTTTAGCGGTGGGAAGGGGCAGGCAAATATGCACTAGGAAAAAAGTTTCAAAGGCTTCTGAAGGGAGTGAGGGAGTAGAGTCAGCCCTGGAAGTAGACTGTGTGCTGTTGTCTGTCCTGCCAGGGAACAGGCCTGATGTCTGTGACCAGTTCCCAAGCCAGAGAGTTGCAGGCACGGTAAGAGGTTTCTGCATGTCCACCACCAARTTCCCCCAGAGTCTCTATTCATCACAATTGCTGAGAGGTCCCAGGATGATAAGGTGGAGAAAGGAGAGGGACCCAGTCCTCTTCCTAAATGCTGTAAACTTGGCCCCAGTGATCACCTGGGGAACTCACCTCCCTAGATCTGGGGAGTAACTTGGTCTTGAAAATATTCATCAACTTTCAAAGTCCTCCTGTCCACTGACAGACATTCTTAGGATTGGAGAGAGGTGGAGGGATGGATATCCAGGATGCTCCCAGGCTTCCCACTGAAGGTAACTGGGGCATGGGGGGCACTCCCTCTGCCTGACCTKCCTGCTTTTGTTGCAGGGCCCCTCCTTAGTAGTCCACCACATCCATGATTCTGGACCTGCTGCTGGATTGCCTTTGGATGCACCATGTGCTCGGATTGACTCATCACTTTCCTTCGACAATGCCGCCTATGCCAGCCTCCCTCTTGATTGCCCACCCGGGAAACCTCCATCCCCATCCTCACCTCCTCTGCCTCCTAAGGTTCTAAGTCCTCCAAATCTGTGACATATGCCACAGTTTTCTTCCCAGGAGGGGACAAAATCGGAGGGGCCTCCTGGGAGTCGGTTCAGGATCTACCTAACAGTCAGACTCTACCCAGCTGAACTGCTCACCATACTGTACACGCAGAGGGGCTGACCCTGGGGGCTCTGTGCACCCATCCCCCCACCTCAGACCCTGTATTCTCAGAACCTATGAACAACTAGGGATTATCCAATATCCTCACTTTATGGATAGGGAATGTGCTACTCAGATATGACTGAGGGCTCTTGGGGAAGACCCCTGCCCCACGATGCTTCCTCTGCCATTACACATTGGGCTAAATAAACCCTAACTGATGATATGTGAACTCTTAATGGTTGATTTGGGAAGGAAAGGAACCAAGTTTGACAATCACTTGGGCTGCAAACCAAAGTTCTTTTGGTCCAGTGTTTGTGCTGCGTGATCTCCTGGCTGTCCTGCAGCGCTTTCTTCCCTGGTCAGAACCTTGCAGTGCAGTTTGGGTCAAGGGTCACCCAAAAGACTCCTCTGAAACTATTTCCTGCCTCTTCCCTAAGGCCTGGAAGTAGATTCATTTGCTTGAGTCAAGGAAGCTCTTTTGCTTCCTGCTTTGCACCTTTTGTACAAGTGACATGTTGATAGCATATGATGGGACAGTGGGGCAGTTAGTGATAAGTTAAAGGAGACCCAGGACAGTGGGATATGGGAGATGGGCCTGAAAAGAAACAGGAGTTAAGGAGAGAAATAAAAATAGACACCATGTCTGTTTCCTGGAAGGACAAAGGAGTTTCAAGCATTAGGCTATAAAAGACCTTTGTAGACATCAGTCTGACCAGAACTGGCTCTCTTGGTTAGGTGACCATCTGGTAGTTCTGTTTCCTTTGGTCTGAACTATAGAGGCTGGGAAAAGCCCAGTGGAGAAAAGGCACAGCAGGGCAGGGAGGGCTGTGGCCATGTTCAAATGTGAATGAAAGTTAGACCAGGCTGGAAACAGAAAGGCCTTTAAGGTCTCTGCCAGAACTTCATCTGAAACTGTTCCTTTGAAAACATCTGCCCAAATTGGGATGTACAACTTAAATGCAGGAGATAAGTACTCAGGAACTGGCCATATTACAATTGCAGAGAGTTTAGCCTAAAGAGATTTTCCCTGGTCAGGTATGGTGGCACATGCTTGTAATCCCAGCTAGTCAGGAGACTGAGAAGGGGGATCATAAGTTCAAGGATGGTCTGGTCAACTGGTGAGATCCTGTCTTAAGAAAAAAAAGGAAGGAAGGAAGGAAGGAAGGAAGGAAGGAAGGAAGGAAGGAAGGAAGGAAGGGAGGTAGGTTCTAGATGTAGCTAAGTGATAGAACACTTGTCTAGCAAGTGTGAGGTTCTGGGTTCAGCCTCTAGTACTATAAACAAGAACAATAACAACAACAAAAGTGGTTTTCCCCAGCTGGAGGAACCCTAAGATTTGGCTTAGGCACATCAAGAGAAGGGTCAGGGGCTCTGCCTCAGGTTCTAGGTTTTTAAGTCTAGGGATATTGTTTTCAACGAGCTTGGGCAGGATGTTCTGAGTTTCCTGTGATAAAAGTTTCAGGTGGTGACAGAACCTATTTAACTTCTGTTCCTTGTGGACTCAACTGTCAGGCTACTCACCAATCAACTAARCCCTAATTTTCTCTGGATAAGATGATTAAACACTGGAGGAGAAAGGAGGCAGACAAAGGAGAGAATAAAGATTAAAAACAACCAGAGGGAAAAATGTGCTCTGAATATATTTAGAACTTTTTACAATCTGGCAGAAGTAAAATGTCTATTCAACAGTGCAAGGAAAATACTAAGGAAGATTATATGATCAATTGAATGGAGGGGAAGCAGGAATATGAAGAGTAAGAACTCCTCTACTTACCATGGGATTATGTCTTGATAAACCTATTTTAAGTTGAAATATCATAGTTCAAAATGCATTTAATACAAGTAACCTACCAAGAGTCATTTGCCTAGCCTACCTTATGTGTTCCCAAAACACATTAGCCCATAGTGTACAAAGGTATCTAATGCAAAGACCGTTTTATGCCGAAGTATTAAATATCTCATGTACACACACACGTGAACATTTTGTAGACTTGATGGGATGTGAGAACTCAAAACTCAGTAACCTAAGAGCAGTGGCAACACAGTACACTATGGATATCAGTGTTTTCCTCTCGTGATCCTGCAGCTGAGTGGGAGCTGTGACTCATTGCTGCCACCCAGAATTGTGAGAGAGGATCTACTGCATATCACTAGGCTGGGAAAAGATCCAAATTCTATGTATGGTTCCTACTGAATGGGTAGCACTTTTACACCATTGCAAGGTTGAAAGATCACAAGTTGAACYATTGTAAGTTAGGAACTGTCTGTATATAAATTCTGTCAGTGCTCATGGTAAGAAGTCTATGAATAGCAACCAGAGCCATAGTTATAAAAGTAACTTCTAAGATGCAAATACTGACTTTCTAAATTTTATCATAAGAAACCACATGCAAAACAAATGCAGGCTGCCTGGTGAGACAATTTCTTCATATTAGAATCTTTGGAATTCAGCTAAAAACACCTTTAGCAGTGATTAGGCATCTTACTCAAATAGCTAATTTTAAAAGAAAAAAGGATATAATACATACATAAGACATAAATAGTCCTAAACAATACATAAATAAGAGAACTGATTCTTTGAAATGAAATAARAGACAAAGTTATTACTCAAGAAGGGTCAAATAAGAAATTAAAAGTGGGAAATAAAACAGATTCAAAGACAATGAAAAAACAAGTATTTTTTTGTCTTTTTTGGGTACCATGGATTGTACTCAAGGGCAGCAACCACTGAGCCACATCCCCAGCCCTATTTTGTATTTTATTTAGATACAGGGTCTCACTGAGCTTCTTAGTGCCTTGATTTTGCTGAGGCTGACTTTGAACTTGTGGTCCTCTTGCCTTGGACTCCTGAGCTGCTTGGGATTATAGGCACCCAGCAACGATAAGAATATTTTTGTGCTGGGCTTAGGAGTATTGATGGAGTGGGAATGATGACAAAGGAGCCTGAAATAATTTTTATTTTATTTATTTTATTTTATTTATTTATATGTGGGGCTAAGGATCAAACCCAGTGCCCTCACACTGTAGCTCTGCCATTGAGCTACAGCCCCAACCCCTGCAAGGAATTTTTTGATTGAAATGTTCTCTTAACAGATTGTACTAGTAGTTGCATTGGTACTAGTGATACATTTGTCAAAATCCATTATTAAAATGGGTGTATTTTCTTATATGTAAAGTATATTTCATAAAATTGATTTAAAAAATACCATTTTTTGTATGTGTGTGGTTCTGGGGATCGAACCCAGGGCCTTGTGTGTGTGAGGCAAGCACTCTACCAGCTTAGCTATTTTCCTAGCACAATATCAGATAAAGTGTACTTCAAACCAGAGTTAGTAAAAAAAAATAATAGGTATTTTCAGAAACAAAACAAAACAAAACAAAACAAAACAAAAAAGAATACTTTCAAGACCAGTGGGGAACAGTTAAAATAATCTTAGAGGAAAAGACCCTTTAAAGTATAACACAAAAATTAAGAAGCATAAAACACTCTCAGATACATTAAAATTGCTACTTTAAGACACATTAAAAATACTTGGAAATCAATCTAACAAAAGAGGCAAAAGACCTCTACAATGAAAACTACAGAACACTAAAGAAAGAAACTGAAGAACTTTCCTTAGAAGATGGAAAGATCTCCCATGCTCCTGGATAGGCAGAATTAATATTGTCAAAATGGCCACACTACCAAGATTTATTGCAGTTCCTATTAAAATCCCAATGACATTCTTCATAGAAWTAGAAAAARCWRTCATGAAATTWATTTGGAAAAATAAGAGACCCAGAATAGCCAAAGTAATCCTTAGCAAGAAAAGTGAAGCAGGTGGCATCACAATACCATTTGACCGAACTATCCCACTCTTAGGTCTATAACCAAAGGACTTAAAATCAGCTTACTATAGTGACGCAGCCACATCAATGTTTATAGCAGCACAATTCACAATAGCCAAACTGTGGAACCAACCTACATGCCCTTCAATAGATGAATGGATTAAAAAACCTGTGGTATATATGTACAATATATATTACTCAGCATTAAAAGAGAATAATGACTGGGAATAAGACAATCCTTCAATAATAACCCCAAATGCGAATGGCCTAAACTCCTCAATTAAAAGACATAGACTGGCAGACTGAATTTATTAAAAAAAAAAAAGACCCAACAATATGCTGCCTTAAAGAGACTCATCTCACAGGAAAAGACAACCACAGACTGAAGGTGAATGGATGGGAAAAAAATGTATCACTTACATGGACCATGTAAACAAGCAGGGGTTTCCATCCTCATATCAGGTAAAGTGGACTTCAAACCACAGTTAGTGAAAAAGGATAAAGAAGGACATTTCATACTGCTTAAGAGAATCATACATCAACAGAACATAACAATTGTAACTATCTATGCCCCAAACAATGGGGCATCTATGTTCATCAACACACACTTCTCAACTTCGAGAATCAAATAGATCACAACACCATAATAATCGATGGCTTTAACATACTTCTCTCACCACTGAATAGATCTTCCAAACAAAACCTAAACAAAAATATTATAGAACTCAATAGAACAATCAATAATTTAGACTTAATAGACATATATAGAATAGTCCATCCATCAAAGAGTAAATACACTTTTTTCTCAGCAGCACATGAATCCTTCTCCAAAACAGACTATATTATGCCTCAAAGCAAGTCTTAGCAAATACACACACACACACACACACACACACATACACACACACATACACACACACACACACACATACAGATACTGCCCTGCATTCTATCTTACCATAATGGAATGAAATTTGATATCATGATAAAACAAAAAAAATAGAAGTTACTCCAACACCTGGAGTATGAATGAACAAAGGATTGCAGAAGACATTAGG